GCCCATCTGGTGGTTGGACCCTACCCATAGTGTTGATCCAATTTTCCCTGAACTGACTATGGATCTCTGTATCTGAGTCAGTGCCCCCTTCCTCATCCTAATGTAGGGTCTTTCTATTTAATGTCACAGATTATTTCCTCACACTATCTCATTATTTCAGCAGCCAACTTTTTAAAAATTTATTTTTCAATTTTTTTAAAGTACGCTCCATGCCCAGTGGTGGAGCCCAGTGCAAGGCTCAAACTCATGATCCTGAGATCAAGACCTGAACTGAAATCAAGAGGCAGCTACTCAACTGACTGTGCCACCCAGACCCCCAATTTTTATGTCAATTTTTAAAAATTCTGATAAAATAGGGGCACTTGTGTGGCTCAGTTGGTCAACTGGTCAACTATCTTAACTCTTGGTTTCAGCTCAGTTCATGATCTCAGGGTCATGAGATAGAGCCCCATATTGGGCTCCATGCTCAGTCAGCAAGGAGTCTGCTTGATATTTTCTCTCCCTCTCCTTCCCCTGTGCACCTCCCTCTATGCATGCATGCTCTCTCTCTTTCTTAAATAAATAAATAAATAAATAAATAAATAAATAAATAAATAAATAAATAAAATCTTTTAAAAATTCTGATAAAATATACATAAAATAAAATTTACTGTCTCAACCATTTTTTTTTAAGCAACAGCTCAGTTATATCAAGTACATTCACATTATTGTAACTCTTCTCTCCAGAACTGGTTTTCTTTTGTAAAACTGAAACTCTAAACTGATTAAACAAAAACTCCCCATTCCCTCATCCCCACAACCGCAGCAACCTCCACTCTACTTTTTGTCTATAATTTTGACTTCTCTATGTACCTCTTATATGTGGAATCATATAGTATTTGTCCTGTGACTGGGTTATTTCACTTAACATAGTATCTTCAAGGTTCATTCATGTTGTAGCACATGTCAGAATTTCTTTCCTTTTTAAGGCTGAATAATATTTTATTGTATGTCTGGACCACTTTTACTTATCCATCCATCTGTCAGTGGGCACTTCAGTTGCTTCTACCTTATGGCTTTTGGGAATAACACTGCTATTAAACACAGTGTACAGATATCTCTTCAAGACTCTGTTTCAATTATTTGAGTATATATACCCAAAAGTGAAATCACTGGATCAAATGGTTATTTTATGTATAGTTGTTTGGGGAACTACCATACTGTTTTCCACAGAGACTGCACAATTTACAAGGGTTCTATTTTCTTCACATTCTTGCCACCACTTGTTTTGTTTTTTTGATAGTAGCCATCCTGGTGGGTGTGAGCAGCCAACTTTTTACACCTTCTCTGTAATCATCTTAGATACTTTATAGATGCTACCTTTTACTATATATACTACTAGTTGAAGTATAGTTGTCATACAGTATTACATGAGTTTCAGGTATCCATCATAGTGATTTGACATTTATATGTTTATAACATTTATAAAATACTCACCATGATACATGTATGTCACCACGTAACATTATTACAATATTATTGACTATATTCTCCATGCTGTACTTTTCATCATCATGACTTACAACTGGAATTTTGTACCTCTTAATCTCTTTTATCTATTTCACCCATGGCTCTACTCCCATCCCCTCTGGCACTTCTCTGTATTTCAGAGTCTGGTTTTTGGTTTGTTGTTCATTTGTTTTGTTTTTTTTTTTATATTCTGTATATAAGTGAAATCATACAGTATTTGTCTTTTTCTGACTTATTTCACTTAGCATAATACACTCTAGGTGCTTTTGCATTGCCAAAAAGCCATGATTTTATCCTTTTTTTTTAAGTCTGAGTAATATTCACATTTCACATTCTTTATCCATTCCTCTATCAGTGGACACTTAGGTTACTTCCATATATTGGCTATTATAAATCATGCTGCAGTAAATATAGAGGTGCACATATCTTTTCAAATTAGTTTTTTAATTTTCTTCAGGCAAATACCTAGAAGTATAATTACTGGATTGTATGGTATTCCTATTTGTAAATTTTTGAAGACCCTTCATTCTCTTCTCTGTAGTAGCTTCACCAATGTACATTCTCACCAATAGTATGCAGGGGTTCCCTCTTGCGCATTCTTGCCAACACTTGTTATTTCTTGTCTTTTTGGTACTAGCTATTCCAACTTCTGTGAGGTGTATCTCATTGGGGTTTTGATTTGCATTTCCCTGATGATTAATGATGTTGAGCATCTTTTTGTGTGTCCACTGGCCACATTTTAGGTCTTCTTGGAAAAGTATCTATTTAGGTCCTCTGGCTATTTTTATTTGGATTTTTTTTGGGGGGTGTTAAGTTCTAATGAGTTTTTATATATTCTGGATATTAACCCCTTGTGTAGCAACACCCCAGCAGACTCTAAGCCCAAGGGTGGGTGATGGTCTGGCAAGGCTGAAGAAATTATCCAGACACAGGGGTCAAGTCATAGGATTAGTGGGGGAACTTACATTCAGGATGTCCAGAAGCAGCCAACTGGACAAAGCATCCACTTCTGGAATCTACATGCAGTAAGCTTTTATAGTTTAGCAACTAGCCTAGCAACTGTCTATAGCCCTTCTTTTCCTTTGTACAGCCAATGTTTGAAGGAGATCAAGTCCTGCCATTCAGACATTCTTTGTTACAAGGGAGATGGTCTGGGTTAGCTACACCCGGAGCCTCTAACCTTGAACACTGCTACCCATTATGTTTGATGAGAATATAGAAGGAGGACAATATTGCTACATTCTTAAGATACTGATTAACAGGGACCTTTAGGGTATGCTTGCACAAACCAGCCTTCCAGTATGTACTATATACTCCTTACCAGTATATCATTTGTAAATATCTTTTCCCATTCAGTAGGTTGCCTTTATGTTTTGTCGTTTCCTTTGCTGTCCTGAACTTTTTAGTTTGATGGAGTCCCGATTGTTTATTTTTGCTTTTGTTGCTATTGCCTGAGGGGCCACATCTGAAAAAATACTAATCAGACCAATGTCCCTGAGGTTACTGCCTATATTTTCTTTTAAGAGTTTTATGGGGGCAGCCCTGGTGGCGCAGCAGTTTAGCGCCGCCTGCAGCCCGGGGTGTGATCCTGGAGACCCGGGATAGAGTCCCACATTGGGCTCCCTGCATGGAGCCTGCTTCTCCCTGCCTGTGTCTCTGCCTCTCTTTCGCTCTCTCTGAATAAATAAATCTTTTAAAAAAAAGAGTTTTATTGTATCAGGTCTTACATTTAAGTCTTTAATCCATATGAGTTTATTTTTGCGTCTTGGTATATGAAGATGATTCACGTTCATTCTTTTGCATATACCTGTTCAGTTTTCCCAACACGATTTAATGAAGAAACTGTCTTTTCCCCATTTTATGTTCTTCTCTTCTTTGTCATAGATTAATTGACCATACAAGTGTGGGCTTATTTCTGGGTTCTCTCTTCTGTTCCATTGATCTGTGTGTCTTGTTGTGGCAGTATCATACTGTTTTGATTACTACAGCTTTGTAATATATTTTGAAATCTGTGATGGTGATACCTCCAACTTATTCTTGTTCAAGATTGCTTTGTCTCTTTGGGATCTTTTGTGGTTCCGTAAAAATTTTAGGATTAATTGTTTTAGTTTTATGAAAAATACTATTATTTTGATTGGGATTGAATTTGTAGACTGCTTGGCTAGTGTAAATATTTTAACAATACTAACTCTTCCAATTCATGAGCATGATACATGTTTCCATTTATGTGTGTAATCTTCAACTTCTCTCATCAGTGTCTTATAGTTTTCAGAGTACAGGTCATTCACCTCTTTGGTTAAATTTATTTCTAAGTCTTTTATTCTTTTTGATGCAGTTGTAAATAGGATTGTTTTCTTAATTTCTCTTTCTGCTAGTTCATTAGTAGTGTATAGAAATACTACAGATTTCAGTGTATTAATTTTGTATCCTGCAGCTTTATTGAATTCATGGATTCATTTTAAAATTTTAGCAGCATTTTTAGTGTTTTCTATGTATAGTATCATGTCATCTGCAATACTGACAGTTTTACTTCTTCCTTACCAAGTTGGAAGCCTCTTATATCTTTTTCTTATCTGATTGTTGTGGCTACAACTTTCAGGACTATATTGAATAAAAATGTGAGAGTGGAGGGATGCCTGGGTGGCTCAGTGATTGAGCATCTTCCTTTGGTTTAGGTCATGATTCTGGGGTCCTGAGATCAAGTCCCACATCAGGCTCCTCTCAGGGAGCCAGCTTCTCCCTCTGCCTATGTGTCTGCCTCTCTCTGTGTGTCTCTCATGAATAAATAAATAAAATCTTTAAAAAAATGTGAGAGTGGACATCTTGTTTGTTCCTGATTTTAGAGGAAAAGTTTTCAGCCTTTTATAAAACTTTGAGTATGATGTTAGCTGTGGCTTTGTCATATATGGCCTTTATCATATTGAGATATGTTTCTTCTGTCCTCACTTTATTAAGAGGTTTTATCATGAATGGGTATTGAATTTTGTTAAATGCTTTTTCTGCATCTTTTGAGATGATCATATGGTTTATATCCTTTCTTTTGTTAATGTGATATATCATGTCATTGAGTTGTAGATATTGAGCCATCCTTGCATCCCTGGAATAAGTCCCTCTTGGTGGTGGTGAATGATTTCTTTTTAACATATTATTGAATTCAATTTGCTAATGGTTTGAGGATTTTTGCCTCTGTGTTCATCGGAGAGTCTGGCTTGAATTATGTGTTTCAGCTAATACAAGCAACTTCACATTTTATGAGTGTATGAAAATTATAAAAAGTATTTTCATGGTGATTCCTACATAACCACAAAGCCATTATGAATTATAGAGAAAAAAAAAAGGAGGAACCACCACTGAATGGAAATTATTCTCTCAAACCCCTCTCTGTCACACTTAACTCCGTTTCTCCATTGATTTTAAACCTAAATTTTACTTTGTGATTTATAACATAAGAGACTGATTTTTTTTATTAATAACAGATATTCTTTCTGCAGAAAATCTATTCCTCGCTGCCGAAGAATTAACAGGATGCTCTCCAATGAATCCCTACATTCTCCCGCATTTACCCGCTCCAACTCACAAGCCTCCATAGACAGCACCTCCATGGAGGATTTCCTGCGGGAAATAGAAAGCATTAAAGAGAACAGCATAGGAGGACAGGAAGAGCAGATACCAGCTGAGGTCAAGCCTGTGGATGGTAAGGTTCTGGATCTGTCATCCCATGTGTTTACTGTCTTTCTTTGTATGCTCTCTCATCCTGTTTGCAGGTAGACCTCATTCCAATAGTAGTTTAACAAGTGAAATCAGTAGAATTTGGCATATCAGCTACCAACTCTCACTGATTTATATCTACTGGATTGGTTCTTGATGGCTTCTATATATAGTGATATAACCTAAGAAGGAGAACTGTCAAAACCCAAATTGATTTCTTACATATCACTACTTAGGGATGCTGTGCCTATCGTTGATATGATTCATTATCATCTAACAGACTGAGTATTCTAATTTTGATGGCTTTTACTTTTGTATTCTTGACTATTACTTCCAAAAAGAGAGAGAGAAAGAGGGGGAAAGAAATAGAGAAAGAGGGAAAAAATGCCAGTACAATTTTGAAGGAAAAAAAAATTTGATTTTGAGACATTTACTAGTGTTAATCTATTTAGGGGATGGGTTACCTTGTATTTCTGAAAATAAAAACCATTGTAAAATATACTAATTTTCAGTGAAACTAAACACACAAGATTAAGAACTGAAAAAATAAGTTAATTCACTTACTCTTTTTAAGAAGAGCTAAATTACTTCCCTTGGATTAAAAGTATAGGTCATCTCCAGTTGCAACCTGTCAGCAAGTAAATATGTAAAATATCCAAGAAAGACTGAAAGTAGTTCAATAATAAGTATTTACCTGAGAATGTTTTCATTAGCCAATGATTAAGTTGGCTAGGCTGGACAACTTACCAAGATAAACTGAAACTTTAAAGAAGTTTTCATTCTTCATTCCTTCTGTAAGTCTATCCTTCTTTGGTCTGAAAAATAATAATTTAGATACACCACAATTAGTATATTTTACAAGCCATTAGAAATAGAAAGTTCTAGGGGATCCCTGGGTGGCGCAGCGGTTCGGTGCCTGCCTTTGGCCCAGGGCGCGATCCTGGAGACCCGGGATCGAATCCCACATCGGGCTCCCGGTGCATGGAGCCTGCTTCTCCCTCTGCCTATGTCTCTGCCTCTCTCTCTCTCTCTGTGACTATCATAAATAAATAAATTAAAAAAAGGAAGCTCCATATGAGGAATTTCCTTAAAAAAAAAAAAAAGAAAGTTCTACTACATATTGAATGAGAATCTAATAAAGGGATCCATCTCTATCGATGAAGTGTATTCTTATTCCTCTAACTTACATAGGAGGATATATGAAGGAAAATACCTGTCATTCTTCATCCTTTTCTCTTACTTGCTAGCTAGCAAGCTAGCTATATTAGAAAACATGGGTTCATATTGATAACCCTCCATTCCACACCACCACAACTAGGTTTGTTGTTGCTGTCTTTTTTTCTTGTATTTATAACTATTTTCCCCAATAATCAGAATCCTGGCTTTTACTATCATTTATTTTAAGTCTAGAGTACACAGAAAATATTTTTAGATTGGTTAACCTAAACTTCCACAAAAAGCATAGCTACTAACCAGAATTTAAATAGATTTTTTTTTCCTTAGAACTGTAGGCATAGAACTTTAAGTATACAATTCAGTGAGGTTTGACAAATGCTAATAATTCTGTAACTTCATAGTAATCAAGGGGGATAGTATTTTAGTCAACTCAAAATGTCTTCATGCTTTTTCCCTTTTCACTCCCATGACTCCCTGTCTCTGGCCAAAAGCAACCATGGTTCTGATGTTCTTGTGTCATAGATTAGTTTTTGATTTAACTTCTTTCACTGAACATAGTGTTTTTAAGATTCATCTGGTATATCAGTAGTTCCTCTCCTTTTATTATTGGGTAGTTGGTATTAGTTTACTAGGGCTGCTATAACAAAATGCTCCAAAATCCAGTGGCTTAAAATAGCAGAAATTTATTTTCTTACAGTTGTGGAGACTAGAAGTCAAGGTGTCAGCAACCTTTTTGAAGATTTAGGGCACAATTTGGTCCGTGCCTTTCTCTTGAGCTTCTGGTATTGCCCTTAACTCTTGCTGTTCCTTGACTTGTAGGCAACACATGCCACACTCTGCCTCTATGTCCTGTAGCCTACTCCTTGTATTTTTGTGTCTTTCTCCTCCCCTTTTTAAAGATCCCCCTTATATTGGATTAAGGACTCACTCTACTCCAGTATGCCCTCATCTCCATTTATATCTTAATTACCTCTACTAAAACCCTGTTTTCAAATAAGCTTACATTCACAGGTATTGGTGGTTAAGACTTCACTCTATCTTCTTGGGGGTCCCAATTCAACCTAGAACAACAGAATTCTATCGTATGAATGTGCCACAATTTATCTGTTTAACTGTTAATGGACTTGCCAGTTGTTTGCAGTTTGGGCTACTATGAAAATACGGTTGCTGTAGATAATCTTGTAAAAGTCTGGAGATATTTGTATCTCTTGAGTATATATTTTTTTCATAGAATATGTTCAACTGCAGAAGAAACTGCCAGCATTTTTCCAAAGTAGTTGTACCATTTTATACTCCCTCCATCAGTGTCTGATAGACAAGTCTGTTGTTTCACATACTTGCAATACTTGATGATATAAGACTTGTTAATGTGAATGATTCTAGAGGATGTATGGAGGTATTTCATAATAAATGTTATTACATTTCACTAATAACTGATGATGTTGAACATTTTTTCTAGAGGATGTATGGAGGTATTTCATAATAAATGTTATTACATTTCACTAATAACTGATGATGTTGAACATTTTTTCCTGTGCTTAACTGTCCATCCATATAACTTGGTTTGTGAAATCTTTTGAATATTTTTGAGGGGGAGAGAGAGAATCTTAAGCAGACTCCCCACTAAGCGCAGAGGTCAATGCAGGGCTGGATCTCAGGATCCTGAGATCATGATCTAAGCCAAAATCAAGAGCGGGATGCTTAAGCAGCTGAACTACCCAGGCGCCCTTTGATTGTTTTTTAAAATTGCCCTTTTATTATGGACTTGTATGAATTCTTTTTTTTAATGAATTCTTTATATATTCTGAATATAACTCTTGTCAAATAAATGTATGATTAAGTATTTTCTTACTGTCTGTGGCTTGTGTGTTCCTACCCTTAATGGGGTCTTTTAATTGGGTATTTCTCTTGTTTTCTCTTGTTTTTCAATTGTTTGCAGCTGGTATATAGAAATACAATTGATTTTTGTCTCATTTCATTACCTTTCTGAATTCATTTTCTAATATTTGTCTACTGGATTTCTTAGGATTTTCTGCATAAACAAAGAGATTACTTGTGAACACAGGCAGTTTTACTTTTTTCATTCTAATTTTTATGTTTTTCTCTCTTTATCTTGCCTAATTGTGCTGGTAGGCCCTCCAGTACAAGTTGAATGGAAGTAAGTGGTGACAGCTCATAGCCTTGCTATATTTGCTTTTGTCTGTGATTTTTGTGTTTAAGTTGCTTCTTTTTTCTCTCTTAAGATGGAAACCTAGACCACTGACTCTACATCTTTTAGCTTTTTAAATGTGAACAGTTCCCTTAAGCCCTGCTTCATTTCACCCCACAAATTCTGATGTGTTGTATTTTCATCATCAGTTTTAAATGTTTTAATGTTTTATTTTAAATGTTGGAGGGTTTTATAGAAATATCATTTGTTATGGTTTCTAAATTAATTGTGTTATGATTAGGTAACAGTTTATAAGTTTCAACCTTTGACACTTATTTAGACCTATTTTATGACTCAGTATATGGTCTGTCTTGGTCAAAATTCCATGTACACTTAAAAAAGAACATGTTCTATCATTGTTGGGAGGTGTGGCGTTCTGCAAATGCTGACTGGATTTAGGTGGTTTGTACATTTGAGTAAATGTACATCAAATCTATTGTACCCTTACTAATTTTCGCCTATCTTTTCTACCAATTATGAGAGAAAGTTGTTAAAATCTCCAGTTTGGGTTGTGTATTTGTCTATTTTTTCCCTCTTATTCTGTCATTTTTGCCTCATATTTTAAAACTGTCATTAGGTGGCATATACATTTATGATTATTATTCCTCTGTTGAATTGGCCCATTTGCACTGACCCTCCTTAATATATTTCTAACACTACTTCTTGTCTTGAAGTCTACTCTGTCTAATAATATAGTTACCCTGGCTTTCTTTCTTTCATTCTTTCTTTTTTTTTTTTAAGATTTTATTTATTTATTTGAGAGAGAGCTCAAGTATAGCAAGGGGAGCAGAAGGAGAGGGAGAAGCAGACTCCACACTAAGCAGGGAGTCTGATGTGGGGTTCAATACCAGGACCCCAGGATCATGACCTGAGCTGAAGGCAGATGCTTAACTTACTGAGCCACCCAGGTGTTCCTCACTCTGGCTTTTTTTTTTTTTTTAAGATTTTATTTATTTATTCATGAAAGACACAGGAAGAGGGAGAAACAGGCTCCATGCAGAGAGCCCAACGTGGGACTCGATCCCAGGTCTCCAGGGTCACACCCTGGGCTGAAGGTGGCACTAAACTGCTGAGCCACTCAGGCTGCCCTCACTCTGGCTTTCTTAAGGTCACTGTGTGGTATATCATTTTCCATCCTTTTACTCTGTCTTTGTCTCTCTTTCATTTTTCTTTGTAATTCCTCCATATGCATTTTTTGTATACTGCTTTGATTTTTTTAGTGACTGCTTGCATATTATATGACTGCTTGCATATTATACTATGTACCTCTAATTTATCACTTAGAATAAATATTAGAATACTACTTAGAATAAATATTACACTTCTTTATGCAAAACGTAAGGATTTTGTAGCAGTATAATTATATTTCCCTTCCTCTCCAGCACTTTGTACTGTTGTCAAATATATAACATCTACACATGTTATACCACCATCAGTATAATGTTATTTATATGGACATATATTATTGTGAAATAATTTAAAACTTACAGAAAAAGTTGCAAATACAATTTAAATAACTTTTTTAAAAGTCTGGAACAATTTTATCATTTGAGAGGAATGTGCCAACCCCTGTTATTACCAAGTACATTAGGCCTTTATGT